GAGATCTTCAATTTTCGCCTTTAACTAATCATTATGGCGTAAATCACGTGATCAGCCAAAAAGGGAGCAAACGGTCCATCAAATCAAGATTATTGTTTCTTATAATATACTACCTAAAAAGGTAGGTTTTCCCCCAATAAATAGAGGGGACTGAGTTATTCATAAACACATTGTAACACATATCAAAAGCAATATACTGTGATTTCAAACTTTGTCATAACTCATTTTTGCTCTGTCTTTCATAATATCATTCCTAGCTAAAGGAAAATCAATTTCATAAGGCTCAAATTTGCTCAAATTTGTGAAGGTTGTATCTATCTTTCTATTGTTTATCTCTACGTTAACCTTGTACCAATTTATATCACGTATCCTTAGAACCGCATATAAAACCAATTGTTATCCAATTTTAAGGGTAAACGGACGTGATACTTGAATAAGAGATGAGATGGATGAGTTTAATTTGTTTGAGAGTCAACCAGAATCTAGTTCGGAAAAAACATAGTTAGAGTTATATTTGGAAGAATTTGTACTTGTTCGTAAGGAAAGTGAATGTCTAAATTTCTTAAGTTTTAGAAAGATAACATGAATAGGTAACCCGAGCTTTTGTGATGGCGCGAGATGTAGTAAGCATACCTATTAGTACTGTTTCACCTGAGTCAATCTTCAACATTGGAGGACGGGTAATCGGAAAATTTCAAAGTTCAATTTTACCCGAAAATGCGGAAGCTAAGTTGTGTGCTCAAGATTGGATTTATAGGTATGGAGGTAAAAAATTTCTGTGTATGTATTATGATTTTTTTTTAATTCTCTTTCTATAGTTTAACAATTCTTTTTTATTGTCTATTAGTGGTTGATAATTCTGACGAAGATGATATTGCAATTGATGTTGAGAAGATTGCATCCAATTTATGGTCTGTGACTGGTGTTCCTAGTTTTAAGTGTTATCTTTCCTTAGATAAGTAGGTGAATCACTTTGTAATATCTTTTTCGCTAAATGCAGAATCTAAGATTGGAAACATGTGTTCGTGCATTGTGGGGGCTGAACATGATGTTTTGGAGCAAGGTGCTTCAACAGAAAATGTAGAAAACGATAAGATTAATTATGAAAAAAATTAAAGAAGACAAATACCAACTTTAATATTAAGACATTTGTTGTCTACTTTGAAAACTACTATTAGGCATCTTAGTTTTAGTGATATCAGACTGGAAGGAATTAGATTTCTTAGCTGGTTGATCTAGTTATCTCATTTGACATGTGTTTGTAAAACCAAAAATTTATTTGCACTTTATTCTAGTTTTGTATCTTTCTGGTATGTGTGATGTATTTGTCTGAATATTATAAGTTTTACCTGCAAAGCATGAGAAGAGTACATTATATATCGCTTTGATATTTTTATTAGTACAAGTTGTCTGAAATACTTTGAATTATGCGCTTTTTTGGTTCCATAATAACAGAGTTATATCACTGTTAAAAGGCATTTAGTTAATGAGGAGGGGATGTTTGGGTTATATTGGGCAGGTTGTGCTATGACTCGTTATTTTTTACATCTTGACCCAACCCATATTGACCCAAGCAAACATTGAGCGGATTGGGTTTTGACACGTTTGTTGATTTGATCTGTTTTGACCCGCCCAAATTTGACACAACTCGCCCAATTGCCACCTTTACCTTAAATTAAAAAACTAATCAAGGTTTGACAGCCTTTTAAGGAAAAATATACAAAATTCTAAAAGATACTAGTTAGTTTTTGCAATTAGCAAACTTTCGTTAAATCGGATTGTGTACGGATAAAACTGGGGGCAAAGTTCCCCGATTCTCTGGTGAGAGAACAAAGGGGAAGCATGGATCGGCGAAATTATAATTGAGGTCGGAAACCTCTCATATCGAGAAGGAAGAATGAACAATGTATTAGAGATCGGACACGGCAAGATGACGTACCCCGGACCAAGTATGATTTCTGTACATCGGGAGACACGGTGAATGGTTCTGCATGAAGGATAGGGGTCGTAATATTCGCCCTCAACTGGATTTTACGGCGCGAATTCAACAATTACCGGGAAATCAAGTTTTTTTACCTTTTTTTAGACTTATACTAGGATTTAAATTCTCTTACTATATAAAGGGAAATTTTTCTTTAGTCCGACATATTGTAACACAAATTTCAAAGTCTACTTTTGTCTTCTAGCTATTGTTCAAGGGATTCCACAATTGTTCTTTTCTGCACGCGCGACCAAGCTTGTACTGAGGGTCCGATCGAGTATGAGGTCTACTGTTCAATTTAAAATCAGGATTAGTCATTACATTGCAATTGGTTTGATTGTTTATTTTGTCTTTAATTCATCTATCTGTTATTCTTAATTATTCGTGCTAAATTAAACCACGTATCCTTTAAATCGCGTACAAATTTAATTGTTACTCATTTTTGGGATAAACACGGATAATATAATTTATAATATAGTATATATAGAGAAAATCCTTGTAAACTTTGTCCAATTCAGTGTGCTTGAGACAAAGTTACGATAGCCATTGTAGAAGAAGAAGATGGAACAGAGAAGAAAGGAATGAAAACAGAGAAATGCATTCTGTTAATGACAATTGTCAGTACAAGCAGTGGAAAGATACATTTATAAAACTAATACCTAACTAACTATACTAACAACCAACTCAATAAACTATGATTTTAACTAACTTAAGTTAACTATATAATGGTTAGGTAATAGCTGTACTACTATGATCCTTTACACCTCCTTCAAGCTGGGAGGTATGAAGACATCCTTCATTCCTTAGCTTGGAAAGCAGGTAGTGATGTTGCAAAGATGTCAGACCTTTTGTCAAGATATCAGCCTGTTGTTCTGTAGTAGGCAATAGCTGTACTACTATGATCCTTTACACCTCCTTCAAGCTGGGAGGTATGAAGACATCCTTCATTCCTTAGCTTGGAAAGCAGGTAGTGATGTTGCAAAGATGTCAGACCTTTTGTCAAGATATCAGCCTGTTGTTCTGTAGTAGGCAATAGCTGTACTACTATGATCCTTTACACCTCCTTCAAGCTGGGAGGTATGAAGACATCCTTCATTCCTTAGCTTGGAAAGCAGGTAGTGATGTTGCAAAGATGTCAAACCTTTTGTCAAGATATCAGCCTGTTGGTTCTGTAGTAGGCACATAAACTGTGTGAATTAAACCAAGTTGAATCTTCTCACGGATGAAGTGACAATTGATATCTATGTGTTTAGTACGTTCGTGAAACACTGGATTAGCAGCAATCTGGATAGCAGATTTGCCGTCACAGTGAACAGCGACAGGCAACTGAACCTCCACACCTAATTCTTTGAACAAGCCAATAAGCCACACGATCTCTGCAACCACAGAAGCTAAACTCCTGTACTCTACCTCTGCTGAGCTCATGGAGATGGTGGTTTGTTTCTTAGACTTCCAAGAAAACAAAGTGTCCCCTAACTTCACCACATAACCTGTAACGGACCATCTAGTGGATGGGAAGGATGCCCAATTAGCATCACAATAGGTCTGTGAGTGAGAAGAAGCAGTAGATGACATAAGAATTCCCATGTCAGGACTTTATTTGATGTATTTGACAATTCTGATGGCAGCCTCCATGTGAGATGTCTTAGGGGAATGCATGAATTGGCTAAGAGTTTGGACAACATAGGAGATATCTTGTCGAGTGACTATCAAATAAAGCAGCCTCCCAACTAGTCGTTGATAGCTACCAGGATCAATAAGTGGTGTCTCATTCTCCAAGCCTAGATGTGCGTCAAATTTAGTAGTTGTTAACTTCTGATTGAGTTCAACTGGTGCACCTGCTAAACCCATATCAGAAATAAGTTCTAGCGCATACTTGCGTTGATGCATTAAAATCCCATGTTGATTTCTGGCAAACTCAATTCCCAAAAAGAATCAAAGCTCACCCAAATCCTTAATCTTGAAATTCTTCTGCAATGCATCCTTAGTATCTTGAATAAGTGTGGCATCATCCCCAGTGATCAAGAGATCATCCACATAAACCAAGACAATGATAGTTTTCCCAGCTGAGCATCTCTTGAATAAAGAGTAATCGAGATGGCTTTGAGTGAAGCCTGATGCAAGCAGAGAAGATGTCAATTTGATGTTCTATTGCTTGGAAGCTTGCTTGAGTCCATAGAGGGACTTAAGCAACCTGCAGGCCTGCTGTTTACCTTCAGTAGCAGAAAACCCTTGAGGCATGGTCATATATACTTCCTCATTGAGATCTCCCTGCAAAAATGCATTGTAGACATCCATTTGATGTATAGCCCAGTTCTTGGATGCAACAATTGAAATAACTGATAGAACAATAACCATTTTCACCACAGGGAAAAAGGTTTCCTGATAATCTAGCCCATCTTTTTGGCTATAACCTTTGGCCACAAGCCTTGCTTTGAATCTTTCGACCTCACCTATAGCTTTATACTTTATTTTGTATACCACCGACAACCAATTGCCCTTTTACCAGGTGGCAGTGACACCACCTCCTATGTCTTGTTATCTTCCAAAGCTTGTATTTCAACTTTCATAGCATCAATCCATCTAGGATCCTTAACTGCTTTAACATAAGACTTAGGTTCAGTCTCTAATGAGAATTTAGAGATAAAACTCTGTTATTGAACAGACAAACCATTGTAGGCCACCATCTGCAATGGGATACAAACACTTGGTAGTAGATTGTTGTCCTTTGTCTGGGACTACATAATCCTTAAGCCATAATGGTGGCTTAATAGTCCTCTTTGGCCTGGCATTAGTAGGGCTGGTAACAGGAAGAGGCCCCTCAGAAATTAGTAAAGCATGCTGGGGATCAAACATGATTTGCAGGGGGAGAGGCGTCTCTATGGATAATCACTCCTTTGGAGAAAATGTTGCATCATCTGTACCTGTAGGCTGAGACACAGGTTGTGGTGTAATAGAAACGTAGGGTACTGAGGGTATTGAGTCATCAAAAGAGGGCATATGTGAACAGAGAAGAAAGGAACGAAAACAGAGAAATGCATTCTGTTAAAATGATAAGTGTCAGTACAAGTAGTGGAAAGATACATTTATACAACTAATACCTAACTAACTATACTAACACCAACTCACTAAACTATGGTTCTAACTAACTTAACTATACAATGGTTAGGTAATAGCTGTACCACTATGATCCTTTACAATCCTTATAAATTAAGATATAGTAAAAGGGCTAGACAGCCCAATAAAAGATTAGCAGATTGTGAGTGAGAGAACCTGGCTGAATCTGCACGATGACTTGAAGCTATAAAAGGGAAGCAACCACAAGAACTTGAAGCTATAACAAGGAATGGAAGAACTTGCATGTTTATCTTTTTTTTTAGCTAAAGTTTAGCAGTCTGGAATCTCCCTTTTCTATTTTCCCTTTTTTTTGTCCTGTTTTCCCTAATTTGTGGATTGTAAGATTGTAATTTCTCCTGCTTCAGTTGATATTAAGCTCCATTATTACAACATTTGAATCAAAATAAACCGATTCAAGGAAGAAATGCTTTAACAATAATTAAATCATCAGGTTTTACTTCATCAAAGAACACAAAAATCAGCTCTAGAAGGAGAACATTCTTGACAAAAAAGGAAAAGGGAAAACCCTTAGTCAGTCAAGAAAATAAACAGATTGAAAGTTTAAGTTAATTAGAATCTAAACAAACACAGTCTAGGCATACACAGAACTTAACAGCTGATGTTTTCACAACTAAGATTAAATTTAAAGATTTAAGTTATATACTATGTTATAATATGTCAATTAGTATCATTTAACAACTCATACTTACATAAGAATTTTTACGCCATCGTGCATATAACTTAAACTCTTGACATAAAAGTTCTAAATCTTCACCCAATTAACATACTTCGAAAACCAAGAAGGCAGAAGCTATAACCATTCAATTAACAATATCAAACCAAATCTTCACCCAGAATCTTCAAGGAGCAGCAGCAACATTCAAATGCTTTGCAATCTCAAAAGAAACAAAAGCATCAACACAAGCATATTTAATTTGATCCAAACTCAACCACTCACTGTCCCACCTACCCATAGTAATATGTCTAGGCTTCTCAATCTCTCTTCCAAGAACAACATTGCACAGCTCCTTCAACCCAGCAGTTTTCAAATTACTCATCTCATATGCATCAGCTGCCAAAACTCTCAAATCCACCATATTCCTCACGGTAAGCTCGTGATCTTCAACCAACTTCTCCACATCGTTCTCAACTCCAACCCCAACAAACGTGTAGTCTCCGTTGGACAGAAAACTAACGAGGGAATCTGGAATTGAACTGCAGTAGAGGAGTTGGAATATGAGGCAACGGCGATCGACGCAGAGCTGGAGAGTTGCAACTTTGAATTGCTGATTGCGGTGGAAACTGGGCCGCCACTCGACGTCAAGTCCAACGATGAGATGGCGGCGGTCGTGGAGAGAGGATTCGGTTTCGGAGATCCACTGAGTGACGATTTCCGGATCGGAAGTAACCGTTGTTTTGATTGTGTCGCTGTGGAAGTAAACGTCAAAGAGGTCGTAGCGGTTGTCTTGCTCCTCGTTGTCTACAATCCGGAAGGTAGTCATGGCGGCTGCTTTCAATGGAGGGTGAAATGTTGTGGAAAAGGGGATCGCCGTAAATAGAGAAGGGTTTTGTAAAAAGCGGAACAATTGCGACGAAAAACGTACTGTCCGTTGTACCTTGGGGAAATTAGGTGGACTCCTTGTCACAGTACGGAACGGTATGACACGCATTGTTAATGGGGGATTAAAGACTTTGTTACCTATCCAATTCATTATGCATTTTTATGGTACTAACGTATCGGCTCCTATTACCTTTTTGAGCTGAGGATCTCCTGAAAACAGTCTCTCTACCCTTCGGGGGGGTAGGGGTAAGGTCTGCGTACATATTACCCTCCCCAGACCTCACTTGTGAGATTATACTGGGTCGTTGTTGTTGTTGTTGTTGTTACAACCCATTCAGCTTGACACTATTTTTTATTAGGATTTTGACACAATTACTAACAAAAAATAAAATTATTTATTCTTGTCTACTCATTTATTTTTCTACCCATAAACTAATTACATTTCCTACCCATGATAGGTTTTGTGAAGAATTTTTTCTTTATTCTCCAATTCTTTTTTTATTTCTATGCTTCTTTTCTTTTCTTTTTTCTTTTTTTTTTCTTTTCTCCTTTTCTTTATTCTTGTTTTCTTCTTTTTTCCTATTCTAATTTCATTTAACTTCTTTTTTTTATATTCTTTTTCTCTTCATAATCTAATTTTATTTACTATTTTCATTATTTTTTATTATTCTTTTTTTTAATTATTACTAAAGAAAAATTAAATTGTATACCAATTAAATGTAGCTAATACAATTAAAAAAATATTAACTAACATATGATACCAGTATAGTATATAATTATACCAACAGGGTACAATTGTACGCAAAGAGTTAAAAAAAATTTAATTCAATTATCAAACTGAAATAATATCAGTTGTCAATAAAAATTTCAAAAAATTCTAAAGGATCTAATTGTAAGAGTATATCGTTACATTATATAGCATACTATAATTTTATTTTATTTTTGCATTTTTAATTTGCCTCTCACACTAGGTAAAAGCTTAAAGCAAATTAAAAGGAAAAAGTCAAGTGAATTTACGGGTAATAGGTATACTATTATAGTAAATTGTATTCTATTACAGCATATTGTTACAGTATATTGCATATTATTATAGTATACTATAACAATATATTGTATACTATAATAGTATACTTTTGCAGTACACACTATCATCTGACTATCATCTGACCCGGTGCAGAACACACATCCATGTTGGGCCTACCAATGAACCACACATCAACTCTGGTCACCCATAACAGATAAATAACCCTCTCAAGGTTCACAATGACTGAATCATAGCACATACTATCATCTGACTAGCTCACCCACATCTTTACAGTCCACAACCGCGAAATAACCTGTTTATGAAAACTCCCAGTCTCCAAATCCATAAAGCACACAAATCACCATATCTAATCCCAACTCCACCGTCCAAATGTACAACCCACCTCTAATACACATTCATCCCACGAGAGGTATTTCTATAATTATTTTGTGCCACCAAGAAAACCTTGAATATCAGCATTCGATCAGACAAGATAGTGCCGCAATACCAATAAAGCATCCGTAACTCAAACACATCGCCCTTTCTAAAATGTATACCCTCATCAAGCCAACAATCTGAGATCTCATTTATCTGGTCATCTAAGTTGTCCATGTTGCCTAAGAATTTATGACCTTCCTTTCAAAACTGAACTATGACCTTACACATGCAAATCTCAACCCCATACAACGTACCACATATAATATACCATCATATGATAAACATAAGAACTTCATAATCCACTCTGAGCTACAAGAAACTACGTACTCAGCCAGCCAAGAACTTTCCATTGATCCCATCTAGAAGAAAATCACTATGCATCCCATGCTCCTCATGCCAGTAGAAAATATACACCTCCAAACCGTGGTAGAAACCATCAAGAACTCTCATAATTCCACTTGCACAAAACCAAACTGTCAGAACTAAATTCCTCCAACTCAACCCAACTACACAGGCCATCAAAACCTAAGAGCATTGCCACGAAACACCTGTAGATACACAGTGCATCATAAGCACCTAAGAACCGATCATATCCATTACCCTGCCGATCCAACCTACTACCAAGCCATCCTAATTCTCTGTGTTCCTTCCGAATTACCTTTAAATTGATATGTTTCCTTGCTAGTACACCACCATCCTTAACTAAAACTGGTCCCACAAACTTTAGCTTAAAATCACATCGCCCTAAGGCTCATAAACCCTTGCATTCCACTGAAGCACCCCCAAAAGTACCATAGCTGAGATATCTGTTCTGAAAAGACCTTCTGCAAATCTAAAGTCATTATCTTTACATTCCTGATACTGATGTGTAGAATCCGCAATAATATAAAAATACCACAAGTCTTAACACCCTCCAATGCAAACCTTAATTTCTAGCCAAATATACAACCTGAAAATCTCCAATTATTATGTGTAAAAATCTTGAACCCATTAGACTCATTCTTGAGAGTCATCCACTCTATTCAAACCTCACTTAGACTGATCAATCGAACTGGATGACCTATGCTCCATTAGCACTCCAATACAAAGTAACCCCACCTTAATGTATCCAAATAAATTCCTGCTCCATGTACATTACATCCTTCACCAATAACAACCCAAGTCATTCCCTAGATTCTTATACACCCATAAAGCACAATATGATCCCTATCCAAAATTTCCTTTATTCGGGTCATCCTCGATCTCAACCTCCGTAAGCCATAACCGATTCACCAGTATGCCCCAAACTGAAACCAACGTAGCATCTAACCGTGCAATCAATGGATCAATAACATACTCCCCCACTTGGCTCAAAGCCATAGATCAAAACACACAATAACCCATAATGCATATACTCTATTACTGTCATAATACCATAGTGAGATTAAACTCAATCCTTCATAATCTCTTGCAACACAGACCCTCTAGTACTTCAAATCATTTGCAAACTTCGTGTTCACCCTTGTAACGGTCAAGACAACTTTTCTACGCGATCCAAACTCAAACTGCAGCACATATAATTTCACTTATAAAAGAGGACTCACAACAAACATAATAGGGACCACACAACTTCAGAACACTCCGCAGAAGATAATCCACTTGCTTAACCTCAAACTGGCATCTCTCTATATTCCTTCACAATCATATATATTACCCGGTCAATTACACTTCCTGAGTCTGAACTCATCTCACTACATGAGATTTACTCCATTTCCAACTAGACAACATGAAAAAGAACCCTCATCATGCCCACAACTCGGGCTATACATCAACTCACGATGAAAATGAAGCACCGAGTAGCTCTTACTACCCCCAAGCAAACCTTTCTCATCTCATTCAATTCGTAGGAGCACATCTCGCGGTCACATCATACTCATCACGTAGCTATCCAGTTATCACTTCCCTTAATAGGGACACTATCAAACATATAAATCCAGATGTAGGTGCTCACACAATCAACACCTCGGTGCTCAAGCTACATGCAAAATTCGGCCTCAAGTCCTACAGACTAGCCCATCATCAACACAGAGAGATCATCTTGCCCCTCTGATACTGAGCGCTCATGTGCACATACAAACGCGTGGAAGGAATTTCAAGAGTTACATTTCAAGTTGAATCAAGGACGCACGATAAGAATTCAAGAATGTGAAGTTTTTCCTAAAGGTTCTACAGCCTCCCGAGGATAAGTACAGACGTCTCCGTACCGATCCATGAGACTCTACTAAACCTGCTCATGACGCGTAAGACCTATGTAACCTAGGCTCTGATACCAACTTGTCACGACCCAAAACTGACTCGGTCGTGATAGCGCCTATCGTGAAACTAGGCCAACCGACACAACTCCCGAATTAACCATTTAATCAATAACAATCATTTTAAGCCTTTAATTAATCACACATCTCATGATGTAAGTCTTAAATGAATAGTGCAGAATAAATACACAAGCCCGACATCGGGGTGTCACAAGTCATGGGCATCTACTAAGGTCTGAATACAACAAGAGTCTAAAAATGTACTAAATACAGTCTAATAAAAACAAGAGGAAGAAAAGCAGTGCTGCAAACATCGGGCAGCTACCTTGCTAACTGTGATGACTCTGCCACTAAGCAATCAACACCCGCCACCAGGTTTCAAAATACCTGAATTTGCACACAAGGTGCAGAGAGTAATGTAAGTACTCCAACTCAGTAAGTAATAAAAGTAAATAAAGACTGAGCAGTAAGAAATCACGTAAACCACGTCATAGCACCACAATAGTTGCAGTAGGTTCCCAAAAGAAGATACCATTCAAATCATTCCGTTAAATTTCTGACTTCAGTAAAATCCTTTAGAAAATATCTTTCTAACCTTTTCAATAGAGGTTTAATAAAATATAGAGTGAAAGTGATGAAAATCATAATCGGCCCCTCAGGCAAAACATAGTTCGTATACAGCCCCTCGGCAAATAGAAATTCATAACCAGTTCATAACTTACAAATCCCGGAGAACGTAACAAAGCCAAATCAGTGACGAAATTTCGGACGCCTCGTAAAACCTTTAGTTTAAAATGAAAGTTGTTTAAAGCATTTGTTTAAAATTTTCAATAGATGCTCGGTCTAAAGATGAGTGAAAGCAGTAATTTAATCAACATATTCAACAGAAACTCACTTTAAGGAGGAGTAAAAAAATAGTAAGTTCATAAACAGGCCTCTCAGGCAAAGCATCACTCATGTACCTGTATATATAGCCCCTCGGGCAAGCCTCTCAGTCACTCATGACTCAACTCTTATCAATCAGCGCTCTCACTCAGCACTCATGCTCAATAGAAACCATACAATAACCGTTGCGGCGTGCAGCCCGATCCATATATATAGTTGACTGCGCTCACTAGGGGTGTACAGACTCCGGAGAGGCTCCTACAGCCCAAGCGCTATATCGCTACGGCGTGCAGCCCGATCCAACATATCGCTGCAACGTGTAGCCCGATCTATATATATATATATATATATATATATATATATTGATGTGACGTGCAGCTCGATACATAAATATATAATCCTCACAATTAGGCCCTCGACCTCTCTCAATCATTAGCCTC